CCGTCGCTCCCCCGCCCCTGCGAGGGCCCCGGGCCCGCCACGCCACTGCCGCCTTTTCCCTGGATGCTGCCGCCACCGCCGTGGGACTGTCCCGGGAGCGGGCCCTGGACTACTACGGGCTGTACGACGACCGCGGGCGCCCCTACAGCTACCCGGCTGTGTGCGAGGAGGACCTGATGCCCGAGGACGACCAGCGGGCCACGCGCAACCTCTTCATCGGGAACCTGGACCACAGCGTGTCGGAGGTGGAGCTGCGACGGGCCTTCGAAAAGTACGGCATCATCGAGGAGGTGGTCATCAAGAGGCCCGCCCGTGGCCAGGGGGGTGCGTACGCCTTCCTCAAGTTCCAGAACCTAGACATGGCCCACAGGGCCAAGGTGGCCATGTCGGGCCGGGTGATCGGCCGCAACCCCATTAAGATCGGCTACGGCAAGGCCAATCCCACCACCCGGCTCTGGGTGGGGGGCCTGGGACCTAACACCTCACTGGCCGCTCTGGCCCGGGAGTTTGACCGCTTTGGGAGCATTCGGACCATCGATCATGTCAAAGGAGACAGCTTTGCCTACATCCAGTATGAGAGCCTGGATGCCGCCCAGGCCGCCTGCGCTAAAATGAGGGGCTTTCCCTTGGGTGGTCCAGACCGCAGGCTGCGGGTGGATTTTGCCAAAGCAGAGGAGACTCGGTATCCCCAGCAGTACCAGCCCTCCCCCCTCCCTGTGCACTACGACCTTCTCCCAGATGGGTATGCCCGGCACCGCAACCTGGACCCGGACCTGCGGGTGCGGGACAGGACCCCCCCACACCTCCTGTACTCAGACCGAGACCGGGCCTTCTTGGAAGGGGACTGGACAAGCCCTGGTAAGAGCTCTGACCGCAGGAACAGCCTGGAGGGCTACAGCCGCTCGGTGCGCAGCCGCAGCGGGGAGCGCTGGGGAGGAGACGGGGACCGGGGCCTGCCCAAGCCCTGGGAGGAGAGGCGGAAGCGGAGGAGCCTGTCCAGTGACCGTGGGAGGACAACCCACTCCCCTTACGAGGAACGGAGCAGGACCAAGGGTGGTGGGCAGCAGGCCGACCGAGGCTCCGACCGCACCCCTGAGCGCAGCCGCAAGGAAAACCACTCCAACGAGGGGACCAAGGAGTCGAGTGGCAACTCCCTCAGCAACAGCAGGCACGGGGCTGAGGAGCGGGGCCACCACCACCACCACCACCACGAGGCTCCAGACGCTGCCCACGGCAAGAAGACCCGTGAGAGCGAGCGCAACCACCGGACCACAGAGGCTGAGCCGAAGCCTCTGGAAGAGCCAAAACACGAGACCAAAAAGCTCAGGACCCTCTCGGAGTACGCGCAGACGCTGCCGCTGGGCTGGAGCGGGCTGCTGGTGTTGAAGAACAGCTGCTTCCCCACATCTATGCACGTCCTCGAGGGGGACCAGGGCGTGATCAGCGGGCTCCTCAAAGACCACTCTTCGGGGAGTAAGCTGACTCAACTGAAGATTGCCCAGCGCCTCCGACTGGACCAGCCCAAGCTCGACGAGGTCACACGACGCATCAAGCAGGGGAGCCCCAATGGCTACGCAGTGCTGCTGGCCACTCAGGCCGCCCCCAGCGGGCCTGGCACTGAGGGGATGCCCCTGGTGGAGCCAGGCCTACAGAGGCGGCTTCTCAGGAACCTGGTCTCCTACTTGAAACAGAAGCAGGCAGCCGGTGTGATCAGCCTGCCAGTGGGTGGGTCCAAGGGCAGAGACAGCACGGGCATGCTCTACGCCTTCCCGCCCTGCGACTTCTCGCAGCAGTACCTCCAGGCGGCACTGAGGACCTTGGGCAAGCTGGAGGAGGAGCACATGGTGATCGTTATAGTGAGGGACACTGCCTAGCCAGACGCCTCCCAGCGCCACTTGGGTCACGAAAGCAGTCATTTTAGAACCTGATCCGCTGCCTCAGTCCTACCCCCTCGGTTTGACTTTTCTGCTGGGTTGTTTTGGTTCATTAGGTGGGAGACCAAAGTCCTGTCCCCACCAAAACTGAGTTCTTAGGTTTTGGGGATTTTTTTCCCGTGATGAGAAGGGACTCCTGTCATGTTGGTTTCTAGTGTACGAGATACTGTCTGCTGTGTTCTGTATTTTTTTTATTTTTTGACTAACTGTATGGAAAGTTGTCAGTAAAGCCTTTGTCAGAGGATGGATTTTTAATCCTGTTCAGAGTCCTGGTTTAATCAAGTTTTTTTCCCCTCAAAGATGGAAGACCTTTCCCACAAAACGCCCTCCGTCATCTTTCTGGCACCGGTATATCGCCAAGTCCTGCTGCGTTGGTGGTTCTCGGCCCCTCAACTCCGTGGGCTGAGTCAGAACTGGATTCACAGTGGTTTTCCATCTTGGCTGAGAGCAGGCAGCTGAGCAGAGCTCATGCAGAGGAGGGGGTGTGCCTCGGGTCCATAGGGAGCAGCTACGGTAGTTTTTGGT